AAAACTCTAGGAACAACAAGTAAGCCTGCAGAGCGAGAGCGAAGTGCTCTAATAGGGTGATATGGCACTACACTGTGTTCCTGTTAATGAAAAACTACAAATTTACCCCAAAGTACTAAAATATTGATATTTTAATATGAGAATCGATTCTAGAACATAAATTACTAGTATCAGAAGAATCGATATTTCAATATCGATCCGCACACCACTACCAACATCCCAATTTGTAGACAATTCAGACTACGTCCTGAGTCACAGCTGCCTCAACATTAAGACATTTTCCCTTAAAATGACCACACTGGCCAAAGTGGCCAATACTAACAAAAAAATATGCTTCCACTCCGACTGAAGCATTAAGCTATAGTATTGCAATACAAGCAATACACTAGAATATTGCAGTTCAAACTTAATACCTAGTGTACCAGGGATGGTAAAATGCAGATAATACCAATACGTACTGTGAGCTTTAAATGGGACTTTAAAGAGTAGCTTTGCATGATTCACAGTTCAAAATGACCCTTACTTATCATAAACTGTGCCACAGTGCAAACTCTCATTTCATATTTGAAGTTGAAAAAAATACATGGTCGTGCACACCATTGCTTTGGTTGGTACGTACCATAGATTCTTGCTGCTGCTGGTCTGGCATGGTGCTGATGCACAGGCTGACTACAGTGACCACAACCATCATGACAGACACGAAGGCAAACACTTTGCCTGCAAAACCAGAGTGGGGGTTCTCCACTGCTTCTCCCAGCTTGTGGAAGAAGCTTCCCTGCTCTGCATTTGCTCTCATCACTCTTCTCCTCTCCCTCCACTCTTCCTCCTTGCGCTGGTGCTGCACCACCTCATCCACAGAGCACATCATGCGGTGGTGGCAGCAGGGTGCCATCTGTCCTACATCGATGCCCCAGTACAGCAGCTCAGTATGCAGAGCTACATTGCAGACATCCTGCAGCACGCGGAGCTTCCCACGGCCCAGGAAGTTGAAGATCATCTGAAAGGCTAAAGGGTCTCGATCAAAGAAGAATTCATGACACAAGGGGTCGTAGTCATCACAAAACTCTGCTATCTCTCTCAGGGTGGTGCAGGAGTGGAGGTGACTCAGGCGACTCTGGGGGAAATCTTCCAAAGTACTCCAGGGAAAAGCATACCGGATACCTCCCACATTGATGAGGGCCCGCAAGGAAGGATCCACAAACCAAGAGGCATCACGTCCACGGAGCAGCTGACCACGCTGGAAGTACAAGCCTTTGACTTCAGTGTTCTCTGTGTCTATGAAGAGGTGGTTGTAACTCTCATCACTGCTAAAGGAATGGTCATCAAAGCCAGCACCGATGATAGCCATGGTGGTACGTGGGTATTTGGCTGAAGAGCTGGACTGTAGTTATGGTAAAGCCTGAAAAGATTGATTACATTAAAAATTCATACATGGTGATCGATGAGTGGCCTACCCTGTTATATTAGCTGTATATTAACCATCATACACTTCAATGCCAGTATGTAACTGAAACTGCTCTTTTAAAGGTCTACAATGATCTTCTAATGGCGCCTAATGTAGGAAATTGTTCTGTACTCATACCGCTTGAATTTAGTGCTGTCTTTGATACTATTGATTACTATTCAAGATTTTGGTTTCTATCTCTGAATAATCAGTAGATTCAGCATCCTCCTTTTCTTCTAGATCAGGGATGGGGAACTCCAGGCCTCAAGGGTTGGTGTCCTGCAGGTTTTAGATATCACCCTGGGTCAACACATCTGAATTAAATGACAGGGCTCTGGGGAACTTCAACACATGTTGAGGAGGTAATTTAGCCATTTAAATCAGCTGTGTTGGATCAAGGACGCATCTAAAACCTGCAGAACATCGGCCCTTTAGGCCTGAAGTTCCCCCACCCCTGCTCTAGAAGGACATTTTGTTCGCGCGTACACCTTCTCCTCTTAGATTGCTTGTTTAACCTCCACAAGGTTCAATCCTGGGTCCACTGTTATTCTGATTTTACATGCTTCCTTAAGTAGGTATCATTTAATCTTTGTGCCTCCCGTTTTTTAGCATTTCTATGCTAATGATATTCAACTGTATGTGTCTTTTAAGCCTCACCAGCTGCATAGGCTATACACCCTAGTTGACTGTTTATCCCGAACCAGTGAGTTTTCACTTTTCTGTTTCTTTTATTTAAGGAATATTTCAAAATTGTGAATTATAGTCTACTCTTCTGAAATGTTAAGGCTTTTGTGTCACTGCACCTAGATTATAGCAGATAAATCTCAGCCATGTCTCCAAGCAACACAAAATGCTACGGTCAGACTCTTAACAGACTCTAGCAAGCAAGCTGACATTTTATTCTCTTTATTGACTCCCAGTTTATTTTAGAATTAATTTTAATATTCTCACCCTTGCATGGACAACCTCCAGACTACATGACTCAACTTCTTGTTAAACACAATGCTGTGTACTGTCTTCGCTCACAAGCTCAAAATTTATTAGCTGTCCCTCATAAGACTGAAGACCAGGGGAGACAGGGGAGCTTTTCAGTCTGTGGCTCCAATGCTTTGGAACAGTTTAGCTCCTTTTAGCTGAATCTGTGGAGTTGTTGGAAAAAAAACTGTTTTAATCTTTTCCGGTTAACCAGGTTAATCTGCTGTTATTTTGTTTAGGCTTATTTTTATTCTGTTTTTACATGGTTGTCTCTGGATATTAATTGTTGCACAAGGCTTTTATATCTGTGAAAAATGATATATAAATAAGTTTTGCTTTACTTACTTTTTTGTGAATCACTAAACCACACTTTAACTCAACTTTGGTCACCATTTCACAGTCACAGTTTTAGCTCATTGTTTTGATCTTGGACAAACATAAATGCATGCAGATTTAAAATCTATTTATTTCTGTTATTTTCTTTCTCTTTTTGACTTTGAGTTTGATGTAGCTATTGATGTAGCTGGTAATCATTCTAACATCAGACGCACAACAATGGTGACAGACATTAAGTAGCCAAGTCAGACATTTTTTTTTCATAGGAGTGGCCAGACTGAGACCATTACTCACTTAAACTTTACATCTTGAAAACCATCCCTTATAGAAGTCTGCTAAGGAAGGTGTTTCAGATCATACACTACTGTCAAATTTAATTATGTGGACAGTTTTTGTTATAGCCCATACAAATTCCAATAAGTGGTTGTGTTGTTTAAATAATAAAGAAATTATTTTTTAGAAAATCTGCTAGAAAAATAGCTTTTACTGGGTGTAACCAGTTCTAAGAAGGGTGTATGTAGGATGGCCACTATTGGCCTCTCTTTGGCTCTGTGCCTGCAGTTACTTTCCCTACTTAAATATCATTCAAACACTTGGGTTTTTTTCTCACATAACTACAATTTGCTTAACCAACATCTCTTAGCAAAAGCACAACACGTTTTCTGGTAAATCCACCACTTTAGTCATGATAGGATACGAAACTTACCTTAAATCTGTGTTGTGATACCAGTCCGTTCAAAATGCCTCTAAATATTCCAAATATTGCTGCTGTGTGTGAAACATTTAGCACTGAATTTCATAAAAAGTAATGTCCAATTACTGCAGGGAAATTTGTCATTAATTCTTACACGTCTCAAGTGTAAGAGAAGCTCAAACCCAGAATGAACAAAGCCGTCCCAGATGATCCATCTGTTTATCTTTTCCTCCCTCTCTCTCCTCTCAATGGTCCACCGTTTGGGTGACTAATGCATGACCCTGTAATCAGCCTGAACATAATCACGACTCTTTGAGTCTGATCCAAACATCATCCATTAACTTCTGTCACACTGCATCTCTAAGCTTTGGGCTTAAATGTCGAAATGCCAACTCATCTACAGAAAGTGGGATTAATGAGATATATCAAGAGGATATAAAGAGAATAAAGAGCCAAACATGCATTAAGTGTCATCATAATACCAACTGTAGTCAGATTGTGCAGTTGGAGTTTATGCTGTATACATGTGTGTATGGCATGAATGTGCACAACAGAACTCATCATTTACAGATACATACAGTTGGAGAAATAAGTACGTTAAATTTGTAAGTCTGCTTAGTTACAAAGAAAAGAACAGTCTCTCTCAGTGTTCATTTTAATGGGAGGAGATAAACCAAAATTCCACAAAAAAACTCAAAGTTATGAATTGAGTATTTGATCCCTTACAACCCAGCCAGAATTCTGGCTCAGACAGATTGGCTGTGTCCTAAGGTGGCATGTCTGGGACAAGACTGTAGACCTGCACAAGGCTGCACCAGCAAGAAGCTTGGTGAGAAGGTGACAACTGTTGGGGCAGTTATTCAGAAATGGAAGAAATATCAGTCGTCGTCTGTCTACAACTCCATGCCTCATGGGTAAATGATGAAAGAACTGGTTCTTATACAGCACTTTACTACACTTCCGGAGCATTCAAACAGCTTTCTGTCACACACATTCATATTTCAATTAATCCATTGGAGAGCAACTTAGGGTTAGTATCTTGCCCAAGGATGTTTGGAATGGAGACTGGAGCACACAGGGATCAAACCACCACTACAGCGATGAGGTGCAGATTATTAACACTAGCATCTAGACAAAAAATGACAATGTTTAAATGTGAACTTTGGGGGACGCCTTAGCCCCTATTGAGTCCCTGTGAAAGTGGTAGTCTAGAGAGTGGCTTCACAGTGGCTAGTTCATGAGTCTGTCTCGGTGAGAAAGCTGGTTTACCCGACTGGCACATATGCACATATGACCTGCACATATGACCTGCAGTCATAATTCTAAGTAAAAGCAAGGAAGTATTATTACCTTAATGATGTGCAAGTAATAACAGAAAATAGCAATAAACATAGCAGTTCTTGCGCTGTGTCTGACAAAGAAAGGTAAAAGAAAGAAAGACCTCCAAGTAAATAACTTGCCGCTCCAGCTCCTCTCCCACAGGAAAAGGGCTGTATTTATTTTTACATTAAACATAAAGGATGAACTTACATGGAACATATTTGACATAAGATTAAAAGAAAAACACCAACACAAATCCGACATACCTGACAAAGAAAGGTAAAAGAAAGAAAGACCTCCAAATAAATAACTTGCTCGCTCAAGCTCCTACGACCAAATACAAACAGTGGGGAAGAGGGTTAGCTCAACCCATCACAGCTTCCAAGCTAGCCAGAATTATATATTCATCCTAGCATTAATGGCCCCTAAAACACATTTGTGGCACACACATACTGCACATTTCTAGCATCTAACAAAAACAGGCACAATGATGACAATAACTGAACTAAAATCACAATCAGAAACAGGGTGGATAAATATACATTATATGAGCATTTTACAGTGTTGGGAAAGAAATGACACCAACCTCTCCTACAGGGGAATTGTAGAAAAGGGCCAAAGGGGTACACTGTATTTATACGGTTGCACCGAAGAAGAAGAAGAAGAAGAAGAAGAAGAAGAAAAGATGAGGAGGAGCTCTAACTGATAATGAATCCGGTCTTTAAGTGATGACCTGATGAATCCTGCTTCCGGGCCCAAAGTAGTCTGCATGTTGTGTGTTGTGTTTTTAACATGTTTTAATGCTTTGTATCTTGTTCTATTTAATCTCAACAAGCCCCTAAAAACAGTCAGTGATCACTGTCGGCTTCTCTCGGTTTTTATTACCACTAATCATTTTAAAGCTCAGTTTTTAAACCCTTATATGTAACTACAACCCAGCCCATGCAGCAGTATATTAATGACTAACCTCGTATTGTGGATGGATTATCTCTGTGGTTCTCCTGACTGACATTTGGTCTGTTTACAGCATCCTGCATTTGCCCCTAACCATTGGGAACCCTCACATTAACTTTTAACGAGTGGAAAAAAGTCCTCCGTTCGTTAGTGTTTGTCCTTCAGCTTTACTGTTTATGTTATGCTAACATAGCTTTGTCACGCTAGCGATCATGTAGCACATCATTTTAAACCAGCTAGCCCAACTTCAGTAACCCTACAAACGTCGCTGCTGTTTACTTTCCTGTCTTCATTTATGTTGGAAGTAATAGCAGAGCTGTACGTTTAAATTTTTTCAGAATCCCTCAGTCAGAACATGGTATATTATATTTAGATGGAAGCTAGCGAGCTAACTCCCTGCTAACTTCTAACTCCGTTAAATGTCATAAATTCAGTTTTCATGGATGCCTGGATGTTAAATTTAATCCGGTCGTTAAGTGATGACGTGAGGAATCCTACTTCCGGGCCTAAAGTAGTCTGCGTTTAATATGGCTTTTGTGTTGCTAACATGTTTAATGTTATGTATTTTCTTCTATTTGATCTCAAAAAGCTCCTAAAACAGTCAGTGATCACATGGCTAATGATGTCAGACTTAAAGACATAACTACAGGCTTGGAGGTCCTAACAGTCATGAAGACAAAGAGAAGTGCAAAACGAAAAAAGATGAAAAATAGATGAGACTGCAGCCAACAAAGTGGCAAAACAGCTGTGGACACTTTTTTAACAGGATCAGTGTGTTTGGAAACATTTTTTAACCCTCTCAAGGCAGGCGTTGCAGATTTGCAACAATTAAAAACTAACAACCTGACTACCCCACATACATATTTTATGAGTTTTTTTACTCAGAAGTACCACTGCAGGACTTGGTTGTGCATTAGCAACAAAAGGTTTAATTTGAGCCTGAGAGGATTAAAAAGTAAATGGCATTTTACATTTTTGCATGAGCTCCCAGGACTATAATTAATAGTTAATGATAAATCAATCTTTTCCATTTAAAACTTTGTCTCTGGATTGCGTTAAGGGATATTGATGCCGCTTATTTCTTATCTTATCTCTAAGATGAAGGCTCCAGTTTCTAAGAAGCCCCTCCTTCTCTCTAGGAAGTCAATAAATCAGTAGCAGAGGATTCAGGATGGTTGTGGGTCTGCAGCAGCATAAACCTGTTACAGTGCTGTACTAAAGCTGCAGGGTTTTATTGCTCAACTGCTCCACGTTGCATGTAGGTTCAATAATGGGTAAGGGTTACAAACTGTATGAACTTTATCATTCTTTAATGATTTTTTTTCCCAAATCAGCTGTCTGATAAAGGCAAGAGGTTAAAGGGAAAAAAACTGCTGCTGGACTTTTGCTATGCATGGATCCAACTCAATGTATGCCCGGCAGGATATAATGCTAAGTAACAGACTAATAAAATACTAGAATGCTGCTCACCAAAACTCCCATTAAAAATTATCCAAAAGGCGCCAACGCCACAAACATGGTTGAGACGTCCACATCAGTGACTTGATTTAGAAGGAGTGAAACACCATGGGTTACAACTGCCAGTGCTGGAACACCTGTCAATCAAAGGAGCCGCAGGCTTAACTGAAGGCCTTATCAGTATAACTCTGTGATGATTTCTTTTCACCCGCCTTACAGTTTCTATGAAGGAGAGGTTGTCCATACACGCTGTAAACATGCTGTTTAATGCTGTAAAGTTGGCCATTGTGTGAGTCCACAGGGACTGACTCATTGGAGCAATCCTCAAGTGGCAGCTTGAGGAAGTGCAGTTTTTGGCTTCATTTGTCAACCCAGTTGAAGTGAATGCATTCTGTAACTGTCATTATCATCCTAGTTATAATCATCGCTGTTTCTGCCACTTCTGAGCATCCTTGTAATGCACACGCCACCTTGGCCAGAAATGTGTTTTCATTATATTTTAAGCTAAAGATTAACCACTTGGAGTCCTTTTCCAACACACACAAAAAATACTCCTTCTCATGTCCTGTCTAGGACTTTTTGTGCACATCATTTTGCTTTTTTTGCTGTTGCTAATTGCTGAAGCTCATGCATTTAATTATGTTTTTTGTTTTTTTTTAGCTATCAATAAAATACACCACATAACCGAAATTGAGAGATTCTGTAACTTTCCACAGTAAGGGCAGTTTCAGTAATTTTCCACAACAGGGGTAAAAGGACAATGTTCAGTCCAGCAGTTTGGTGGTGCTCAGCTGCATGCAGCTACCTAAACGTTTGTTACACAACCTTGAGATCAATTGCACTTCTCTTTGATGCGCTTTTGCACGTCTATTTCTGTGTTTCACGGCCATAACTGTACAGCTGCATTGTGCAGGGTTTCTTTTTTAACCTCCAATCAAAGAACAGTAAGGTACAGTAAAAACATAAGTCAGCATAACTATCAGTGGTATTAGCTGGTAAGTTTGTGTAGTGGTGCAGATGTTACTGATTGCTGTGCATCCAAACCCAGATCTGGGAAATTCCATGACATCAGAAGAGTCCGTCCTTCTGTGTATAAATAGGACGGCTTAGTGGTAATGTGCAATAAAGAAGAGGCACAAAATAAGGCAGCATCACAGCTGGGAAATTTCCTCAAATATGGAGAGACACATTAATGGTAAGACTTTTTCAGTGGAACCTTTAGTTTAGTTTGCAAAAGATCACTTATAACACTTATGTTATATGCACTTCACTTAGCACAAACTAGCACATGCTGCATCTTTTTAAGCGCTATAAATTATATTCTTTCATAAATGTAATGCTCTGATATGTTTAAAGTCATTTTGTATTTTTATTCTTTATATTTTATTCATGCACAGTAAAAATCAATCAGTATTCCTGCAAGAATAACAACTAAAAATGATGTTTTGAGCTTGATAACCTCATCAAATTTTGGAACAACACTCAGAGGGAAGGAAAAACATTTTAAAAAGTAAAAAAGGATTTTGAATTCTTTAACTCAGTTCCTCAGAAAGCCTTCCACACATCTAAACTTGTCGCTTTAAAGACCTTTAAATATTCTATTTGTTATCTCTCTGCACTGCTCTGTATCTGCTGGAAATAGCCCGGCCTTGAGATAACGCTAAAAGGAAAAAAACTGAATTTGAAATTGTTCTTTTCAAAATGAAAAGTAACATTTGTCTTTAATTGAATTACTGGAATGGAGTTCAAAAGATAAGCAGCAGTTTGTTTTGAGGGTGACTGAGTTCATTAAGTCCTACAATTTGGACTGTTGCCATAACTGACAAGGCCAGAGGTCAGTCAGCTCAGAGGTCAGGTGACAACTTGGACAATCATGCCAAAAGAGTGCAAGAAAGATATGACAAGACATGAGAGGGCATAGCACAGTGAGATTTTAAAGTTACACTTACACAGGGAAAAGGTAACGTAAAGTACAGTTAAGTGGCAGGTGACGCTTGAGCACAGGGTTAGTTCAAGCAATCCGCAGAGTCAGGAAGGGCTGCAATCAGCCTATCAGCTCATCTCAGTGCCAGCCCACATTATCTGATGACTCGGCTGATATGTTATGTGCATCCTATTGGCAAATTAGATATGGTGTGTGCTATTTATGCTGCTCCAACCTGCATGGAGTCGCTGCTGCCTCGACATGCTGCTTTGCAAACCCACCTCCCTCCACTGTTCCTTCTTTTCATGTTTTCTGTGCTCTCTCTGCCTTTTTGGTTCCCCACGTGTGCATTTAGAAGGGCAGAGCAGATGGATCCTGCCAAATATGTGCATTTATGCAGTTGCTTTATTTTTTATGATAATTATGCACCATTAAACTGGAAGTAACATTTGTGTAAAATCACAAATGTATAAAGCTGCCATCACATGAAAGCTGTTTCTTTCATTCATGATCTTAATGCCTCGAAATGAATTTGAAGTGAATCAAGAAATCGTTGGAATCAGAGGGAAAATTAAGAAACTAGAAGCAGGACGTGGCATGTGTTGTTCCTTTCTTTTATTTTATGCAACAAGGGGACAAAAAAATGTTGTACTTATGAGACAGAGTAAGGCCCATTTTTTTCTTTTTTCTTTTAAGGTGTGAAGTCCTGCGAAAGCCAGGCCCCTGTGGCACAACCTGAAAAATGTTCTCCAGCTGGCAGCTTTGATGTGAGCAGCTCCACTGCAGATGAACAAATAGCAGAGTCCTTTATCAGACAAGCAATGGAAATCATTGTGGACGAGGCAGTGAAGAAGGCCACTAACGTCCAGGAGAAGGTAACGCATTGTTGTATTTATTTATTATTTGAAATCCAGGGTATTTAAAATGGATTTAAAACATGGAATTCCAACTACTTTCTTTGAAAGTACAGTGCAATTATATTTACCTATAAATATTTAAAAGTTGGCACTCTAGAATAAGGGGATAACAAGTTTGTTTTTTACAAGAAACAGTTATAGTGTAAGTAATTTTACACGGATGGATGGCAGCACGGTGGTGTGGTGATTAGCACTGTTGCCTCACAGCAAACATTTGAATTTCAAAAGGAGTTTACAGGAAAGTGCAGCGCACTTACAATGCATGATGTTATTCAAAAAAATTACCAAGAAATTAGCTTAGCAGTACTTAAAATGATTATAATAATTTGTTACACTTGCTGTAACACACCTGAAGTTATGCAAGACTTAAAATTACACATGCACCACCTAAAATTAATTATGACTATTTAAAGACTACATACACTTACTTACAGTTTAAATATTCTTTGTTTCGTGTAGCAACCTGACGTATTTATTATAGTGTACCTACATTTAAGTATTTGCGAATTTGCATGAAAATATAATTACATTTTAATTATTCATTCAAATTCCATTTAATTGCAGGGGATTATAAAATCCTTGATTATTTTATCTTACACCGTGCTTTGGCACAGCCCTTAAGTTTGAGCTGTATTAGCTTGTTTTTGTTTACTTGTTAAACCATATATATTATAGACCAACTTACCTGTGATTGGCTGGCCCTCCCTAACAAAGGTTGGTGATCTCACATTTTAAAGACATCGACCCGTCATACAGAACAAAGACAAAGCTGTGAGCTGACACTGTAGTTATATTTAATATAAACATCCATCACTGTAACAGTATGTAAATGACCAACAATAAGGAAAAGCACTGGTTAGTGGTTGCATTTAAAATCAGCAGCATTTAAAAAACAGTAACAACAGAACTGAATCTTAAAGTTATAATTATATTATTTGTTTCTGTCTAAAGTAATCAAATTATATGTATATATATTTATATTTAATTTATATTTAACATGCTTTTTTTTAGTTTTGTCTCTTTAGATGGTGGATAGTGTAAAATATGCTTCAAGTATGGTTATTGGTTGACCTTGACAGTCACACCTCTGTGCCTGTTTTCCAGGTTTGTGAGTGGCACTCCCCCGAGCAGCTGAAGAAGCTGCTGGACCTCGAGCTGAGAGACAGAGGAGAGCCGGAGTCTGAGATCTTGCAGAGATGCAGAGATGCCATCAGATATAGTGTCAAGACCAGTGAGTGTTCATAACTTTCAGCGACTGCCTACAGTATATAACGGTGTGTATTTATGTTATGTGCATTTTTAAGCACCTGCTTTGGAGGAAAAACAACTAACATGATGTGCCCAAACCAAAAAGAAACAAACCAAAACTCTTATTGTAAACTAGAACTGAACATAAATTTGAACTAAACATTTTCTTGCCTTTACAATTTGTCATACTGATTTCTAATGATGACAGCTTCACTTTTGGTGCTTCTTCTGTTTCCCACAAGCCATATGCCATGCAATATATACCTGATTGTGTAATAATAAGCATCAATGCTCAATGAAGCAATCTGTTCAATGCCCCAGTTTATAGGACATGAAAAAGCACAATCAGTCAGTAACTGAAGACAAAATGAATATCTCTGGGCTCTACAGACAGATTTGATGTAAGCTGTCTATATGCAATGCTCTTGGATTTAAAATTTAAGAGGAGAAAGTGTTAAGATCTGACAAATTTGACGACTTCCCAAATTTCAAGATCAGAGGAGCCTCTAAGTAAGTCTCCTGACAGCCAGATACATAATTGTTCATCGATGTGCTTGCATACTGAGTCACTGTGGCACAAATTTGCATTGCACCAATATGAAGTGTATGATTCAGCACAAATGTTATCAAATTAAAAGGAAAGCCACACTAATAGTTAGTACATGATCCTAGCTGTGTACTGTATTTCTGTCCCATCTCTGTAGGTCATCCCCGTTTCTTCAATCAGCTGTACGCAGGGATGGAGCCCTACTCTATGGTGGCAAGCTTCATTGCTGAAGCAGTCAAAACCAATCTGTGAGTCATACAACTTACTGTAAACCTGTAAGTCACACATGGAGATATTTATGCTGTCCACTGCTCTGTCAGGAACTATACTACACATTAAATCATACACATATGTGGTTTTCGTCAGGTACACATATGAGGTGGCTCCAGTGTTTACCTTAATGGAGGATGCTGTGCTCAGGAAGATGATCAAGGTGATTGGCTGGGAAGAAGGAGGTGATGGAATCTTTAACCCAGGTACACTCAACTTTATACTTGTGTGTCCAACTGGACATCAATAAATGGGATGTTTGAAATCAAGAAAGATCTTTATCTTAACAAGTAAAGTCATCTTGGGACAATTACCTTTCAGGTGGCTCATTGTCCAACATATATGCTGTGAACTTGGCCAGGTACCGCTACTGCCCAGATTTCAAAGAGGTTGGCATGTTTTCTGCTCCGCGACTGGTCATATTAACGTCCCAGGAGGTAAGTGTGGATAAGAATTAGGGTAAGCCTAGAGTGATTTGGTGTTATTAGCTGGTTTTCCAGAAAAGATATCACTGCCTGCATAAGATTCACTACAAACAAGCAATATAATAATACTCAGTATAACTTACCTCCAACACATAGATCACATAGATGACCACCCCTCCCTTAACCTGAACCTGGTTCTTTCTGAGGTTTCTTCCTGTTAAAAGGGAGTTTTTCTTTGCCTTGCTCATAGGGGGTCATATGATTGTTGGGGTTTTCTCTGAAATATTGTAGGGACTTTACCTTAGAATGTACATGTAAAGCACCTTGAAGCAACTATTGTGATTCGGTCCTTTAGAAATACAAACGAACTGAGCTGAATGCACAAGTTTAATGCTGGAAAGCAGTGATACTGTAGCCTGTTTCATACAAATATTAACTGAAGTAAACGGTTTCCTTGCTTCATTCAAGATTAAAGAGTAATTCATTAGGAAACATTAAAATAAAACCCATAAGTTATCTGGAAGTATTTGGTGTGGTTGTGGAAGCCGGCAACCAGCACAGGCATGCATATTTACTGACAAACTCTTGCTTAATCTCTTTCAGTGTCATTACTCCATTTCCAAAGGAGCAGCTTTAATGGGGATCGGCACGAAGAATGTTTATACTGTCCCAACTGATGAGAGGTGCACTGTCTGTTTCACGCACTTTCCTTTTTTCTTTAAAATTCCTGATAATCTATGAATGCAGAGAGACAGAGTAGAGTGACTGAATTGAGGTTGTCTCGTGTCGTTTTCAGAGGAAGGATGATTCCCTCAGCCCTTGAGGAGAAAATAAAGTTGGCAAAAAGTGAGGTTAGTCAACCATCTTATTTTTCTGAGCTACCATACAAAGAGTCTTGAAATGGGAAATGAGCCAAAGGATAATACCTCATTCTGTGTGCACAGGGTGCAGTTCCCTTCATGGTAAACGCCACCGCAGGAACCACGGTGCTCGGAGCCTTCGATCCCATCGACGAAATTGCTGACATCTGTGAGAAGCACAACTTGTGGCTACATGTGGATGTGAGCTCATTATTTAATCAAGTCGCTCATTTAATCCCTCCTGTCGCTCAGCGTTGCTCATCAGTACTTTCCTCTTCTGTCTGTCTGTGCTCAGGCATGTTGGGGAGGAGCAGCTATCATGTCTAAGAAGCATAAACACTTGTTAAAGGGCATCCACAGGTAAACACTACGTACAAATCCCCCTAAACATACAATGTAGTAGCTGATTTTTTTCAGCGTGACACACAACTGCAACTCTCTGTATAATACATAGAAATACATTTTAATTTCTACAAGTAAGCGTTGTCATTTAATCGTGCAGATTTTTATTGTAGTCCCTATAATTTTATCTTGTGATTTTCGTTCTTTATCAAAAGATCAAGACATACTATCTATACATCTGCAAACCAACTTTTCTGTTATTGGTAAATTTGGGCTTCAAAGAAGAACGTAAACTTGTAGAACTGCAGCCTACTGAGGTGGAATGTAACCTCGCTCTGTCATCTTTCATTTGTTTGATAAAGAGTTGACTCTGTTGCTTGGAACCCTCACAAGATGCTGATGGCCTCTCTGCAGTGCTCTGCTTTCCTGGTCAGAGACAAAACGGTGAGTCTGATAAGTCTGATAAGTCATATTTGCTGAATGAAAAAACGAATACCACCAGTAAAACCAGCAAGAGTGACAGCAATGTCACAATGATCCACAATGATGTGCCACATCAACAGAATGTGAGTCAGGTGTTCAGCTGGGACAGATGCCCTTCACATCCTCTATCCTGTGTTTTCATTTCAGTATAATCATAAGAGATTAAATTTCTTTTTTCTTGTTAAGTCTTCCTCACTCTGCTCCCTCAGAGTCTCCTGCAGCGCTGCCACTCTGCACGGGCCTCTTATCTCTTCCAGCAGGACAAGTTCTACGATGTCAGCTACGACACGGGGGACAAGTCGGTGCAGTGCAGCAGGAAGCCAGACGCCTTCAAAATCTGGCTCATGTGGAAGGCTTTGGGAAGCAGAGAGCTGGAGCAGAGGGTGGACAGAGCCCTCGCCATGGCAAGGTCAGTGTGGGCAAATAGAAATTATCAGTTGTCCTTCACAGTAAAGTTATATTTAACTTTTACGTTTACTGTCTCACAGCCATGACTGCTGATAACAAGTACAGTTTTCCCAGTTTCCTTAATGTAGAAGGCAGTGCAACCACGTTTCATTGTAATATTAAAATTTCAGATCAATCAAGAAGACATTTTGATTTCTGTCTCTTTTTTAAACTGAACACTGAAACCTGACGTGATGCAATTGTAGGTATCTTGCAGAGGAGATCAAGAAAAGAGAAGGATTCCGTCTTGTGCTGGAAGTACGTCCTTGCATATTCATACATGACTTGAAACTAAACCCCTAAAGCTAACCTTCATTTCCATCTTTAAGGCAGTATTATTTAAACTGTTTTTCTCTGCAGCCTGAATTTGCAAACGTTTGCTTCTGGTACCTTCCGCCAAGCCTGAGGAACCTTCCCGAGAGTCCTGAGCTCTGGAAGAAGCTCCACACTGTAAGGAGTTCATCACTGCAGAGGGTTATTTTAATGTATTCTAATGCTGACATGAAGAGATTATTCAGTTTTAGTTTGGCAAATGCATGAATTCTATTGTGATAAACAAGAAAAGTGTGACCCTCTCACACACTGCTGCCGGCTTTTGGTACATTAATATGGAGTAAAAAGTCACTGCAGTTTCTACCCTGCTCCTCTAGGTGGCCCCAGTGGTGAAACAGCGAATGATGAAGACAGGCAGCATGATGACAGGCTACCAGCCTCTTGGAGAAAAAGCCAACTTCTTCAGGATGGTTGTGATCAGTCCTCAGGTCAGCAGGCAGGACCTGGACTTTGTCCTGGATGAGATCCATAATCTGGGAAAGGACTTGTGATTAATGATCGGCGTATGCAAAGAGCCATCCTATGGCACAGATGGATCTGTCAGGAATTTTCACAGCACTATCAGACGAGTGATGCAACTTAATAACAAAGATGTCTGATTATCTGTAAATATTTCATCTGTAAATACCAACCAGACAACTAAAATAAATGTCAGAATTCCACACGCTGTATAACATTTGTGTTTTGTTTTGTTTTATCTAAATATATATTTGTCTTTCAGCAATGCCCATGTGTTTTCGCTCCCTGAATAATTATGTTATGCATTGTTATGCAGGCCAGTAACAGCCAAATGCTTCATGTTTTCCATCACATTCTTGTGAACATGACATGGTGTCAAAGATACTTTGAGGGAAATTTCTTCAATTTTAGCATGAAACATCAGGGTCACTGTAAACCCACAAAGTGCAGCTTTGGTCATAAAACAAG